TGCCTTGTTTTCTCCACATCTTGGTATTTAAACTAATACTATACTAATGGCATTTATACAACCCAAGCCACTCTGCATCATGATGCAGTTACAATTTAAATTATGCTAACATTTAAACATTTCATCAAGAATGAGTTTGTTATGGGTCAAAAATTATTTTGTTATTCCAATTGAACTTTCCACTGCGTCTCCATCTCCAACCTTTTGTTTTTGATCAGCAAGTTTTTTGGTTGTAATCCCTCAGGCTGCACCAGCTTACCTGGCTTCTTGGGCTCAGGCATGTCTGTGTCTGCTTATCGTGATTCCTCTGAATGGGTCTTCCTCCTTCCTTGTATGTGGATCTGCCTGTAGTTTCTTCCTTCATCCCCTTTTATCACCTCTACATCCCCCCACCCTCCCATCAAAAACACACACAGACTCAGTACCACCCCAAGAAGTGGAACAAGGAAGGAGGAGAGTGACGGTGTATGGTTGTCACTTGAAACCCTGGCAGGAGCAGCGGAGCTTTGCGGAGGAGAGGGAAGACACCATGAGGGGTAAAAGCGTTTCAGAGCCATAAAGAAAAGTCCAGCCCTCGATAATAACCTGCCAGCTGATGAACTCATGAGGCCCTGGAGGAAGAATGTTAACAATGGCCGATGGTGATCAGCTCTGACTGACACTTTGACTGGGTGATAGACCGTTCAGCATTTAAATGAGACAAAATAAAATGACTTTATATCACATATCTTCACAAGGAACAGGACCAAAGTTGATCAAAAAAGGGAGCTTAAAATTGTCATTCTATCTCTTGTAATATTTGAATTAATAAAATAATAATAAAAGCCCCTTTACCTATCCTTCTTCATAACAGTAAGAACCACAGATTGAAAGAGCCTGCAAGCCATTTTTACTACTTTACTTGTTTTGTATTTATTTGGTCATATTGGTTTTGTGCTTATATCTCTTTGTGGTGGTTTTGCATCTCTTTTTTGTTATATTGTGTGTCTCTGTGGTCATTCTGCATCTATTTTCTTTTTTGTGGTTTTGGTTGTCTCTTCTTATTTCGTATTTCTTTTTATTAGTGTGTCTCATGTAATTTTGTGTCCCTTTTGCATCTGTTATTTATTTTATGTATCTGGTCATTCTGTGTGTCCTTTAGATGCGTGTCTTTGAGAAGTTTTGTCTATTTTTTGTAGTCTTTCTGTCTTTTGGGTCATTTTGCACCCTCGTTGTTGTTCGGCTTCTTGTTTTTACTCGTTTTGTGTCTGTTAACTATTAACAGCCTCATCATACAGAGGCTCTGGTCCAGGGACTTCATGACCCCTTTGGCCCCTGGACCCCCTTAGCACAGAGAGGCCTGTTCAATAATCCCTCCCTGACTCAGGACACTTTACTCTGCTTCACAACAGAAATGTATAATTTAAGGGTGAATTAATAATAATGTGATCATGTAATGTAATCTAAGTTTGGTATAACCCTACCTGGTAATAATCAATGGATGAGGTGAAAACATGAAGGTGGGAGTCTTGTTGAAAGCATTATAAGCTCACCCTTTCTCACCTAGTAATTTTCAAACAGTCCCTGGAGTGGTTGAAGAAGAGGAGAAAGAAAAGCTCTGGGATGAATATGAGGGTAAAGCAGCAGCAGCGTCCGCAGCAGCTTTGTGTGCCTACAGGCTCTGACAATCCCATTTGTTCTCCAGCAGCCATCGCTGTCATCAGGGTGTATTTTATGAGACTGGAGTCTTGTGCACACGGATTAGAGGAATATGAGGAACAAGGTCAAAGACAATGGAAAGAGGTCGCTAACCTTATGAGTTCTTGAAGAGGTATACATTTTCCAACCCATTGTAGACATGACTGTAAACACTTACACCTCATATTTTTATGATGAGGATTTGCCATAGATGATACGTTTTGTGCAATATATATTCCTTACACATTACAAAGAAAACACATAAATACGAGTGACAGAAGCACAATTGTAGACTCTAAATGGTAATGCATCACATTCTAAACCTTCTAAACATCAGTGTTTAATTATCCATTCAAGCTGCTTTTCCCTTTCTCATTCATCCCTTTTTTTTCAATTGTGCACTCGTCTTCTCGCTCCCCCAAATTGCCCGGGCGGCTATAACCTTGACTGTAACAATAAACATTCTTAAGTCAGAAAGAGAGGAAGAGATTGAAGAACGGCTATTCAGGGCAAGTGCAACTTGAGATTCAAATGTTCAAGGAGAACAAAACACCCTCAAGGAAGATTAGAGGGCTCTGTAAAACTTCCTTGAGTCCAATGTATATTCCAACTTTAAATTATTCAACTTTAGAGCAGAATTAACTTTAATAAATGAGGGTTTTTTATGCTTCCGCCGGTCGTCAGCTGTGATTTCTCTTCACATTTGAAGAGGTTATGATTCATGTATTCATTGCGGATTCAAAGCAGATATAGGAGACTAACTATAGGTGTCCTACATGATCCTGTGAGTTACTGTGGAGGATGACACCACAGTTATTCAACACTTGCATTAGTTAAGCCTCACTGAAGTGCACGTTAAGCCAAACTGAGGCAGGTCCTCTCTACCTTTACGGTCACTTTCCCACGAGCAACCACCACCTCTAAAACTCAGCATTCAAAATTCAATATTCATCAAAATTCAAGCTGAAGAAGTATGATTATTTTAAGGGACAAAACTTAATTGAATCCACATTTTTTATGGATCATGGCAGTGAGAAGATGGTTAACTAATCTGTTGCACAAACGGAGGCAGGCTTTCTAAATATTTCAGTAAACACACAGCTCTGTGTAAACCTGACAAATTTCATAACATGCTTCCTGATTACCAGGGTTGATTTGATGCCACATCAAAAAATGCTAATGAGATTTTAGAGTGTTTTCTGTGCGGCAGCACTGTCGGATCTCTTTCTTTAACATAACATTTAAAAAATCAAGGCCACATTCTCCAATTTTATTTTAAGAGCCTGGTGAACTGCATGTGTTTTAAACAAGTCACTGATGTGTATTTGTCTGTGTGCTAAAATACTGAGCACGATGAACTGTCAAGAAAGTGATTGATTTTAATCAGTGATGGAAAAAATCAACAACCTCATTAGACTCAATTAAGATTAGTAACTTTGTCAAGTCAAACCATTTTGAGGAATTCTTCCTTTCTGGATTAAGTTTGATCAACTCTATCAGTTGTGTTGTGTCAGTGTGTGCTGCGTCCTTCAGATAATGTTAAAGCGTGAAACATGCTCTCTTAAGCTGTTTTCACATATGCACAACGCAGTGGGAGTTTTTCTACAAAGACACGTTCAAAACAAATCCTCTGCATTATTCAGGCGAGAGATGGTGCAGCAGGCAGAGACAGGAAGTAACATATTAACTCCGCTGTGGAAATCACGTGATTTTGTTTCCGGTACATAAACACAGTTGTCTGATCACAACAAACTCTGTAGAAATCTTCGTTGGTATCTTCTGTGTGTACGACACACGCTTTTGCCTCTGTCTCACGTTAGAAGCATCATCAACCCCCCCACTCGGTCGCGGTGAATCTCCTTCTGTGTCAAACATTGAATTCTACGACCTAATGCAGACTTTATAGTATGAGGCCAGGTAGAGAATGTTCGCAGATAATCCGAAGGCTCTCACTCGGACATTTGCATTCACACATGCACCCTCTCTGGAGAAGGTGCAGAGAATATCCAGAGTTCAGTGCATGTCTGAAAGCAGCTTGAGTTTAATTTGACCATTCTGGGCTTCTGTAGAAACATGCCAGTGCAGCATGGTAGCTTATGCACAGGTGGACACGCTGGGCTTGCAGGGTAGGCCAGCAACGACCATTGTATTAGAGCCCCCATACAATTCTGTCACCTGCTATGTACGGGAGACTGCAGTTACATTATGGTTGGAAAACCCAGATGCCCCATGCCACTAACTTTCTGCCAAAATGTTTGTAAAATTAGGGGTTTGGTTGAACTCTACAATATCTAAATGTTTATATGTCTGGGATGGTGGTTACAGTTAATCACTTTCTTTTTCAATTTTCATGATGCTCCATTTTTAACAGTGCACAGTTCACACGGGACATGACAGCATCTTCCTTCAAAGAGAAAGTCCTGCTGTCTTCTCAGCTAAATATACATGTGTTTATATACTTTAGTAAAAATAGGTGACACCATTGTTTTGTTCAATGACAGAGAGTAATGGGTCGTCCCACTGAGGGGGATTAGATACTGTAGGTGTCTGAATACTTCAAAGGCAGAAATAAGAGGGGAATCACATAGTTCAGTCGCCATATGGTCCGTAGAGAGCGCCCTGCCCACCCCGCAGCCCCCACCTTCAAACTGAACAGGAGCCAGACAGACAGTAATGTCATAAGAATAATGTGTCACAATATACAATATATATATATATATATATATATATATAAAGGCCTATATTCATCCAACTGTAATCTGACTATGAGAGTATTTAGTTTAGTGTAAAAAAAAATCTACTGAGTGGCTCCATGGCTTTCATCGCACTGCCATAAAAGCCAGTAGCCATTCAGATTTACCTTGAGCCTCAGTGTACACTCAGGCTCAGCTTTTAACATTGTTGTGATTAAAAGGCTAAAACACATAATATTCGCCAGGGTGATATTGAAGATTATTATTATTAATTTCATTGTAACAACCAGTCTGACAAAGCTCAAATGTTATGGTTAAACAACTGTTCCTGGAGTAGCATAAGTCATAAACCCTGCCTCCCCCATGTTAGCAGATGGGACATGGACCAAACTAAAAAGGTAAAGTGAATGTCAGATAAACCAACCAAAGATGGTTTCTTTCATTTACGTAGTTCTCATCACACAAAGTTTTCCTACTTCTGATCATTTTGGTTTTTTTGGTTTGTTATTTGATGCTATAAAAACAAGGTGAAACATCATGATTGACAGCTGAGAATGAGTTGCAATTGGTCAAGTGCATAATCCATCCCCCGGTCACTACTGCACAGACTCTGGCTCCAAATGACGTCATCGGAGTAAGATGGCAGCATTCATAGCCTGGATATTTAGGCTTCATTTCTGGTTAGTGGGAGGAAGTGAACATGCATTGTCCATCTTTCTTGACAGTCAAAGCCCCAGACAATGGACTGGCTTATTTAGCTGTCTTAATGTTTAGGTCATCTGGTTTGTTGTGGAGCCACATCTTAACTCAAAGGAAATCTTTGTTTTTGACATTGACCCAACCGAACCGTTAAAAATGATTTAGTTTTTTTTATTCTTCTAATGTGAGCCAAATTCTCTCAAATGTCGGAATGGAAATGACCTCAGTTAATGGTTTGAAACCCTCAAACCAAGACTTATGCATGGGCA